GGCTCGCTTTTTTCTGGTGTTTTACCCAAAACCGCCGCTTCGCCCCGTTCTTCCCCTCGGCTTCCGCGGGCGGCCTCCGCTCGCTGCCCGCAGCCTCCATCAGCGGCGACACGGGCGTCATCCACGTGGTGGAGAAGGAGGAGGACCTCAGGTGGGTGCTCCTGGACGGTCCCCACCCGCCCTACATGGTGCTGCTCGACGGGAGCCTGTTCAACAGGTGAGGAACCACCGTCGCTTTGKACCTTCCCCAAAAAAAGCCCCCGAGGGCCCCTCATCTGATGTTGTCCTTCAAACAGCAGCTGGGCAATCAGCCTCAATAGCTCCAAGGCGCGGGAAAGGCAAAACCTTGGAGTTTTTGCCCTTCCAAGACTTATATATCTGTTACTCTGTGCTTAAATGAGTGGCTTGGTTGCTTGAATCTGGGAGTTCTTCCCTGYGGAACTTCTAAAGCCACCTTCATTGCTCTGTCCCTTGTACCTCGTTAAATATCTTGGGTCTTTCTTGTGTTTATTGGGGCAGAGAAAGAAAGAAGTGAAATCTCTTCATTTTCAGAAAGATAAAGCGATGGCTTTTTGATATCATGCCCAGTCATGTGGACTTCTGAGAAGATATGGGGAAAAGGGACAGGTTTTGATCAAAAACTCAACACGTTTTGGTCAAAAGTATCAACGGTTGCTCAACTACCTCTGTAGCATGTTTGGGATTGTAACTTTTKGTTAACTTTGGGTTCCAAAACGCAGGTTTTCCCTCCTTTGCCCTCTGTTGCAGGAAGGTGCTGCTGCAGCTCAAAGGAACCTCCCGAGTTTCGGGTCTTGCCGTGGCCAAGGCCAAACCCAGCCCTCCCCAAGGCTTCTCTCCTGGCTTGAAGTGCCCCAACGACGGCTTTGGTGAGGAAAGGTTAAACCTCTGTCCCTGCTAGGGGCAAAGAGCCCTCGAGTTTTGGGGGTCAAAACAAGAAATGCAAAGGGCAGCCAGAATAACAGCTGAAATTTAATGTCAAAATGATGTTTGAAGCCTTTGAAAAGGAGCTGGTTTGAACTGGGAGTCTCCACAAGAGCTGGAACTGATCCCTGGGGATCAGCTTTTGAATGTGCCTGGGATAAAATCACGTTACGGCGTGAAAATGTTTCCCTGGGCACAGATTTGCTGCAAGTTCTGTTTTCTGTAACCTGTGCAACTTGGACTTTGTCCACGCTTGGTCATTAAAGCCTCTTGTGCAGGTTGGGTGGGGTAGGTCTTAATTTCTCTGAGCTAATTGTTACCTTTTACTTATTACCTTTCTTCTTTTGCTTCCTTGTTTTGCCGTTTCAGCTARTTTTCCACTTATTTTTCTTTTTTTTCCCGCTCCTATATCCATATCCACATCTATATGTACCGCTRTCTTCTCAGCAGGCCTCGCCTTTCCTGCGCCCTCACAGATTCCAATTTCCCCTTTTTTTTTCCCGTTGTTCCCAGGGGTCTATTCCGAAGATTATGGCCCTCAGTACGCGCACTGCAACACTACAGTGTGGAATCCCGTGGGGAGCGGCCTTTCCTACGAGGATTTTGACTTCCCTATTTTCCTCCTGGAGGATGCCAACGAGACAGAAGTCATTAAGCAGGTACCCCACCTTGCAGGCAAGTGGGAGAGGGGACCTGCCACGTGGTTCAGGAAAGGGGGATCAATTACAGGGCCAACAACGCTACAGAAATATTCAGTTTTGTAATAATTTCTTTTATTTTTCCCCAGTGCTATCAAGACCATAATGTCCCTCGGGAGGGGTCTGGCCCCGAGTACCCGCTGTGTGCCATGCAGCTCTTCTCCCACATGCATGCTGTCACCAGCACTGTCACCTGCATGCGGCGCAGCTCCATCCAAAGCACCTTCAGCCTTAATCCAGGTGAGCCCRTTCCCCTTTATGGGATAAGGCTGACAATAGAAAAAAAAACACCCCGAGGGAACGTCCTCGCTGTTGTCTCGGCTCCTGAGTTGTGGTTTTGCTTCCTAGAGGTGGTGTGTGATCCTCTCCTCGATTACAACGTGTGGAGCACCTTGCAGCCTATAAATTCGTCTGGAAAAGTCGATCCCAAGAAAGAAGTCATTCTCGTGGCTACTCGAGTAGGTACCTGTTAACATTGCTSAGGGGTTCTGGGAGAATGGAAGTGCTGGAAGGGTTTCCCTTGCTGGAAGATACTGTCCTATATATTTTAATTTCCTTCCATGTTTTCAGGCTTTGCTTTACATCTGACTGGCTAGTTCTGCAATTAGGTCTSCTTTAGATAATACAGCCTAATATCTCAGCATAAGAACATTTGAATTTTAATTCTGTGTGTCTTGCTACTTGGCTTGGAACATTTCTTCATGGCTGCAAAACCTCGAAGGAACCAGACAAGTAGAAATAGTTAACATTTCTCATTACRCTTTTGAGGATTTTACATTCCATTAAGCAGGGTGCTTTGGTTCCCCATTTTCCACCRGAGCCAGTTGCGTTATAGGAGAGAGGCCTCAAATTTGGCTAGGCCAGCAAGTTCCAGGTTCTTGTTCCCCGAGGAATACCCTGTGCGGGTGTTTATCTGTGTGGTGCTTGCAGATCGACAGCCACTCCTTCTTCTGGAACATCGCCCCGGGCGCGGAAAGCGCCGTCTCCTCCTTCGTCACCCACTTGGCCGCTGCTGAAGCCCTTCACAAAGCGCCGGGCATCCAGTCGCTGCCCAGGAACGTCATGTTCACCTTCTTCCAAGGGGTAAGAGCAGCGGCAGCCTCACTGCCCCTGTTTGCTTTATTCCCAGCTCCTTCCTCCTCAGCTCCCTGCAAACAAGCTTTCTGCACCCCTTTTTGCCTCCTCATTGCCATCCCCGTGCCGTGGTTCTCTCCGTTCACTCAAAACAAGGTTTTACCTGCCTTGGGGCAGCAGTAGCAGCTCAAGCCTCTGCTTGGGCAGCCCCATTTTGCCCGCCCAGCTCATTGTGGGCGAGGGGGCCAAACTTGCCTTTCGCTCCTCTCTCAGCCCCTCATTTTCCCCTGTTGGCTTTCGCCGCTGCTCCCGCAGCAGCTACGCTTTTATGTTCTGACACGAAGCCCAGAAAAGACACGATTAAAATTATCTGTGTTGACAGCAGCGAAATGCAGTTCACTTCGGAGAGCCCCGCGCTGGAGTTGGCAGCTGTGCCGGAGCAGAATAAGCTGCTGGAGGAGGGACTTGATGGCCAACAGCTGATGTTCCCCTCAGGGCATCCGCACTGATGGCTGCTGCTTTTGTGCAGCTTTGTGGAACCGGCGCCCACAGCCCCATGCTGTGGCCGTGTGACTTCCTCCCTTCACCCTCCCCATCGCTCGGATCCCTAGTCGGAATTTCCCTGGGGGAGACAAGCGTAGCGCTAAGGCCTGGAGTCTCCCAAGTGCTCCCGGAACGTAGGAGGAGCGCTGGAAATGAGTCTAGGGGGAAATACACCGGCTCCTGCTGTGATTGCAGCACCCTGCAGGATAGCAGGGCTCCCCGAAGCAAAATCCGACTTTGCCCCTGTGTCTCTGTTGCTCGTGCAGTTCCCGAAGAGCAGCCCTGCTCTTTGCCTTTGCTTTTGTCCTATTTTTTTCCCATCCCTGCCTGCAATATCTCTCTCTTTCTCTGGTCTTTTGGCGGGCGCCCTAGACGCTTTCAGGAATAATCGATGCAGTTGGTGGCCCTTGAACTGGGTCTCTTGTACCTTAGCCTCTCAAATAGAGCTGAGAGGTGAGCGAGGGAGCCACCCTCGTGTGATTCATGCGTGACTTTCTTTCCTTTTTCCCTTGCAGGAGACCTTTGATTACATTGGCAGCTCGCGGATGGTGTATGATATGGAAAAGGACAAGTTTCCTCTCCGTTTGAGCAACATTCACTCATTTATAGAGCTGAATCAGGTGGGGGATAACTCAGGGACTCCYTTCATTTCGCTTTGATAATATAAACCCTGCTTTTCCAGCCATGCTTTTGCTGTGGTTGACTGTACCAAGACTAGGGGTGCCCACACTGGGTTTCGTGGTGGYCTTTTTCCTTGCAGGTGGCTCTGAGGAATAACTCTGTTCTGTGGATGCACACAGACCCCGTCTCTCGGAAGAACGAATCTATTCAAACACAGGTAACAAAGAGCAATCTGTCSCAGCCAGAAAACCTGTATCATCTTTAGCATCTGCAACTAATCTTTAAACATCCCAGAGAAATGCTGTTTCTGAAAGTATACAGTGCAGTTCTCTCCTCTTTCCAGGTTGAAAACCTGCTGGAAACTCTGAGCAACAGCAGTGCAGGAGCCAACGTGACTTTGCAGGACGTCGGCTACTCGCAGCCTCTTCCCCCCTCGTCCTTCCAGCGCTTCCTGCGGGCCAAGCACATCCCCGGAGTGGTGCTGAGCGACCACCGCGCGTCCTTCCACAACAGGTACCCGTCCTGGCCCGGGGATTTTGGTGGCCGGAGCCAACAGAGGGCAGCTCCGGGTCCCCGCGGCCTCAGGACGCGCGGAGCCGCCGTCCCGGGGGAGCCCGGGAGCCAGCGCGTGCCACAGAATCGAAACGGGCACGACATAATTGTTCTGACAAGCGAGAGAAATCCAGTTTTGTGCGGAAAATGTTCCCCACAGCTGGCTGCAAGCCAGAGGTGAGCAAATGGCAACTGAGCGTGCCTAAGCCTCATCTGTTCTTCCAGAAGCTGCTTTTTTTTCCCTTTTTTTTTTTAATATAGCTTCTATTTGTGGTGGCAAGGAGCCCCAGGCATTAGAAAGGGCACTTTCATTTACCCCACCTGACCCTGCTGCAGTTTGTTCCATGGATTTCCACTCTTCCTCAGCATTGGAAAGGGGAATGTGGGGTAGGCGATGGACAGAACGCCTTCATTTCCCCCCCATTTTATTCCATTCGTCCCTTTCATCTTCCATCCTATGCTGYTTCTGGGAATATTTGTAGTGATAAAGCGGGGAGCAGCTTCCTCTTCAGCTTCATCTGTCCTGAAAGGACAGGAAAATGCTGAGTGGGTCCAAGGAAAAGAACAACCCCACTTGTGTGTGGCCCATCCTTAGATTTAGGGGTGTCATCTGGGGGTGTCAGGGGCATTTCCATGCACCGATTCACTTGCCAAATTCAGCTGCATCTGCTGCACATCTGTAAAACTCTCCTRAAGTTGCCTTGGGATTCCTCCCCAACCTTGGAATTCCTCCCCAGCTTCGGGATTCCTCCCCAGCCTCGGGATGCGGCATCAGTAGCACGACCTGCATCACGAGATGTCTTCCTCTTGGGCCCTTGGGCCTGGCTTGCTGCTGCCTCAGTTTCCCCTCTTCTACATTGGGCTGTCGCCCACCTCAGAGCTAATCACAGCTTGTAAATTGCTCCGAGATCCTCAGATGGGAGAAGCTGTGGAAGGGCCAAGTTAATTATAAAGCCTCATTAAATGGTTTAAGGAGCGTGTGGCGGGGTAGTGCTTTGGCAGGGCTCTGCCTCTGCTCCCAGGGGGCTGCTCCCACTGTTTGCTTTCGGCACGCTCCGAATTGAATTCCATGCCCCACGAGTTGGGTTTTTTTCCACCCTTTCCCAGCTCTGTTTGCCTTCTTTTCAGATACTACCAGAGCATGTACGACACTCCGGAGAACATCCGCGTGGAGTATCCGGAGGGACTCAGCCCCGAGGAGACCTTGGAGTACGTCACGGACACGGCCAAGGTGCCTCCTTTGCTTTTGCTTTAACTCTTGTGTCTGGGGCGGCTTTGGCAAGGGGGAGACGGCAAAAAGAGGGAAGGAGGAAAGAGGAAAAGATGGAAAAGAGGGAGGTTGGAGCACCCTGTATAGTGACAAAGGCAGCAGACACTCGGATATTAGTGCAGTGGGGGCCCCTCTGATAGATGTGTTGGTTCTGGCTTGCTCCCCTTCCTTGTTGCGCTGAGSCTGCCCATCTTGATTAACACAGAGCCCTCTTCCTTTGCAGTCCCTGGCAGAAGTTGCCACTGTGGTCGCCCGTGCGCTCTACCAGCTTGCRGGGGGAGCCAACGACACCTCTGCTATTCAGGCGGATCCAAAAACGGTACGAGCAGATGGAACCGAGTCGCTGGCATCGCTGTTGAGCCCTCGCGTCCGTCCCTTCTGTCTCTGTTTATACGTGTTTACCCAACGTGCTGTCCTGTCTGTCTCCGTGAGGGCTTTGCCGCCTCCTTTCTCCCATTCCCCAGCAAAGGCAATGCAAAACGTTGCCCCCCCTTGGCTGTTACCTGCTCSCTCAATCCACTCCCTTTCCACGAAGAAGAGGAAGCTGCGGCTGAAATGGGATCRCAGGGATCAGCCGAGGGGGCAACGGAGCTGGAATTAAACCCAGTTTTCACAACGCAGCCCCACATTRTATACAGTTATATACACAGTTTATGTACAGTTGCAAAATATAGCGGCTCCTTTGCTGTGCTCTTGTCCTCTAGGGAGGAGGCATCTCTCAGCCAGATGATGGTCAGAGAGCCACCGAGATGCTCAATTCTCTCCTCTTTGTATAAAGCACCTTCCGTCTTCTTGCAGGTCTCTCGAATGCTCTACGGGTTCCTGATCAAAATGAACAATTCCTGGTTTCAGTCCATCATTAAACCCGACATCAAAGTCATTCTAGGTAAGTGTGATAGAAGGAATAATCCAGGGTTGGATTTGACCCCCTCGTGTTACCTTGCAGCTTTCTAAAGCCCTGCAGAAACGTCGTCTGCTCCTGGCCTTCCCCCTGCCCATCCCATCTCTCTGCCTCTTCCAGGTGATGTTCCCCAACACTACGTAGCGGTTTCCAGCCCTGTGAACACCACCTACCTCGTGCAGTACGTGCTGGCCAACCTCACGGGCACCGTTGTCAATCTCACCAAGGAGGAGTGCTTGAACCCCGAAAAAACCCCCAGCACCGAGAAAGACGTAAGGAGCCTTCAGAGCAGCGTAGCACGTGGTAGACCAGGAAAGAACGGCTGTCTCACTTGCAGTTTTTCTGCTTTGGAGGAAAATTTGATTAGGAATATCCTCCATTCCCTGTAATCATGCAGGGAGAACTGGGAAAACTCCAACGAGGAAGCGTTTTCTGAGGGCAGAGAAAGGGTGGGCAGAAGGTCCCACGGGGTCAGTAAAGCCCCTTTCCTCCTGRAGGTGTGTCTGAGGTTGCAGAACGGGGGAACTAATTAATTATTTGCTGGTGCTTTGTTGTGTCTTACTGCCCTGTTTGCTTCACAGCTGTATGAATACGCCTGGGTGCAGGGCTCCCTGGACCCGAATTCGACGTCCCGGGCGCCCTTCTGCGTCCGCTCCACTGTCCGCTTGAGCAAAGCCCTCTCTCCTGCCTTYGAGCTCAGACAGTGGGGATCTACTGAGTATTCCACGTGGACGGAGAGCCGGTGGAAAGACATCCGCGCCCGGATATTTCTGGTRGCCAGCAAGGAGCTGGAGGTAAGTTGGTATGGGTTTTAGAAAGGAAAAGAGGGGAAGGAACCAAGTGTGGTTAGGCAGAACCCATAGGGCACTGAAAAAGATCTGCCATCGAGAAACCCATTGGAGGGTGTTAGGAGAGGTGGTGCCATTGTCCTCTGTGAGGTTCCCAAATAAGAAGAGCTTAGAAGAGCCAGGAAGAGCTCCCAACTTCGCTCCTTAAGAAGGGAGTGCCAGGAATGTGTGGCACCCTCCCACATCCAGCTCTTTGTGGGTTAATAACCTRGTCTGCCACAGCCTGGAGTGATCAGAGCCCAGCCTGAGCTCGGCCTGGGCAGCCTGAGCTCTGGGTCTGGATGTGATTTTAGCTTCAGTACCAGCAGAATAAGGATTAAGTTGAGAGCCACTTTTGGGCCGGGCCGGTGCTCTTGCTTGGTTGGCACCGATGGCACAGCCTGGTGGCAAGGACTTGCCATCGCGTCCTGCAACAAGCCACCCAAAGGCCGCGCAAGCCCAGGCAGTTGTTGCCTCCCTGCGATGGTTCTTTGCCCTCTGAGCAATTTATTTGCGTGGCCCCTTGTTAACAGTGTCAGGCAAGGAYGCATTTTAATATCCCAATTACCTCCGTGATGGGATGTCTGTCCGAAGCTTTGCATTAAAGACTCTAGTTCTCCACAAACTCTGTGAGCTGATGCAGACAGCAAACCTGTTGAGTGTCTCTCCTTCCTTCCTAGATGATCACCTTGGCGGTGGGCATCGTCATTCTCGTCTTCTCTCTCCTCGCCACCTATTTCATCAACGCCAAAGCAGACGTGCTCTTCAGCATCCCTCGGGACCCCGGGGCTGTGACTTATTGAAGGGCTTAGCTGGGCTCGAGAAGTCCTTGGATTCTTTTTGTCRGATAAAACTACACTGGAACGCCCCTCTCTCCGGATAGGGACGCAAGCGGGTCGCTCCGGAGCTTCCACGCTCAGGTTCTGAACCCCGAAACATAAAAGACTTGCCCAGAAAACCAAGCTGACCAAGTCCTAGCGAGATTTTGACCGCCTAAGAAGTTCCCAAAGCCTTTTTTTTGTAATTTATCCCCATTTCTGAGCAACTTGAGAGGATTGCTCCTGGATGCTACAAGACAACAACAGGATGGGTGTATCCTYAAGATAAGGGCGAGGTTGGAAAGCAGAGAGGTGTTTTTTTCTGGGATGCGCGTGGACAGTCGGGTCTCTGTGGTGTCTGACTGTACTGGTTGCCTGTTGGTGGGAAGCAGTTGCTGGGAATCTATACGTACTACAATGCAGGGAATGCAAGGTTTGTTAACCTGAGGCTTAGGTGTAAAATGTCCTTTTTTCAAAGGTGCAATATTTTCTGGGTTGTGTGTATGTATATGTATATATATATTAGTTCCGTTTAATTAAAAAAAGAAAAATCTCTGCTTACTGTTAACCCATTGCCTGTATTGTCTTCGTTGCTGCCAAAAGGACCAAAACCACCAGGTCTTGCAAAATGATCCGGACTTGGGAAGAACAAAAATTCTCTGATTGTTGTTTGTTTTTTTAACTCACAGTGAAGCTTTTCGAACTTTCTAGGACTGGATGGACAAAAGAAACTGCCCTTGGGGAGGACGGGGAGCTCGTTGGCTCTTCAACTCGCCTGTTCAGAGCGTAAGCTCTCCAAGGCCGAGGTGGTTGGTGGCTCTGTACCTCAGTTTGGTACCACACGGGACACCCCAATCGTTCCCCAGGCCTCCGTTCTAATAAACATATTTTATAATGAGCATTTAACACTCTTGTTTGCTGCTGCTGCAGAGCACCCTGCAGGACTCACCCCGAGGGACTCAGCCCAGGAGAAAGAGGCTGTCAAGAATCCAGATCCTCTCCACTGTGTGAGGGMAAGTTCCCCTTGTTCTTCAGCAGTCCTGATTCACAGAGGTAACGATGGTGGCATCTAAAGGTAATGGATGGGGAGGATTAATCACAAAAACCGAGCTAACTAGCACTAAACCAGACATTCTTTTCCTTAGAGGGGAATTGTATTTAAATCTTATCTCAGCTAGACCTGAGTTTTAAAGTCCTTTTTTTATGCCTGGTGTGCTGCTGTTTCTCCTAGCAATGCTGAAGAAAAATTAATTTAAATGGAGATACCTTCTCTTTACRATGAGAGTTTTCACTCCTTTCCATTGCAAATCTTGGAATTCATTCCCACATTGCCAGAACCAAATCAGTCCCCCCCAAGTTATCCCAATGGAATATTTCTGTGCATTAAAGTTTATGCATGATGGAGAGGGCCAGTGATCTGGTGTAATTTTAGGACTGAAGTGAGGAATTTGGGCTTCCCTGAGTTTATTTAACTTACAGGGAGGTGGAGGGGAGATGGTGGCATCAAGGGGGGACGTGCCAGGGACCTTGCGCTGTCCCCTTTTCCTCTGTGATGGAGACGTCGCCGCGCCGCGTTTCGCAGGAACCCGGATGCTCCCTCCCCCTGGAGGTAAAAGATATTTAAAATAGGGATGTGTTTTATTGAAGTGGAGCCTAAATATTCGTGAAATGAGTTGCTTGCTGGGATGTGGGGAGTGAAATCCCCTTGTACCCCACTGAGACCGTGCAAAAAAGTCCCTCTGCGGCCCACGAAAGGGGCAGGCGGGAGGGGATGACGATCCCTCCGATCCACATGGTCGTTTATCCTGGCTCCTGTCCTCCGGACAAAGAGCTGACGGTGGACTCGGGAGCGCTCGCTGCTCCCCGGCGGGACCAGGGGACCATTTGCTTCCTTTGTGCGGCGCCGGCCCTCGGGGAGCTGCTGTCTGCCGCTCCAAAGCCACCGTTAAGGCCCTTTTCCCGGGAAAAATTCATCCTAACACATCCCTTCCGTGCCTTCATTCCGCGGACGTGGCTCTGGAGGGAATGCTGGCGGCTTAAGGATGAAACGGCCTCAATCCCAGGCTCTCATCCCTGGGTTTTCCTCACTGCAGGAGCAGCCCTTGTCTCTGCTTGTCCCTGCTCCTGGTGTGACAGCCGCTGGCCTCAGCTGCTCGAGCCTCCACGGCGACAACTCCCTCGATGCGCTCTTCCTCATCCCTCCAGAGACGGGTGTGCATTAATTAGAGCATTCCTAATGCTAATAAGCAAGGGCCCCGCTCAGGCCGGGCACGTGGAGAGCAGTTTGAGGCCCGGCCTAGGCGCGGGTTTACGTTTAGCTCTGCAGCGAAAGCAGCATTACTGCGTGCTGGGGCGCAACCACGTATGGAGGCTGCTTAAATAAGGCAGATTAGTGTCAATAAAGCCTGGATCTTCATGGTCCTTCCAGGCGGGAAGGAGAAGCGCTTTGTTTCCCAGCTTTCCCATTCCTGCGTGGTGCTTCGGGTGGCCGCACGGAGAGCGCAGAGCCCTCGGTGGGACCTTCGTTGAGGTAGGCTGATGTAAGACAAGATGATTGCCCCGCTCCAAGCCTGTTGGCTCTGGTAATTAAGCGAGTTTGCATGGGGAATTATGCAAAGCGTGGAGAGCGATTTTCCAGCTCCACGGTGTCTGGCCGCCTTTGCAAACCTGTAGGGTTTCAGGGGTTCCTGTGGCAGCCAAAGGTTTCCATGGCTGTAGCAGAGTCAGCATGGGGCACGAAAGCTCCACTTGAGCAAAACTACCACGTTCAGGCGCTGGGACAAGGCCCTGTCCTCTTTTAGACTCGGCCTTGCTGCTCCCAAGCCCAAGCCCTTGAATTTCTTCCAGGAATACTACGTTTTGTAGGTGGTTTAAGTTATGGCTGGTCCAACCAGTTCTTCCCGTTGCTCAAAGAGGTTGGAGGCCCTTTGAGCGCGGTCCAAGCGCTCGGCATCCCCGGCTGCTTTGAGGCAGGGAGGTCACTATTTCTGCTGGATTAAGGAGATGGGGGGGGGATGTCGGCCCTCTGCTTGCACCCGGACCAGCCTGGGGCTTCCACCGGGATTTTGGCCGGGAATTGGGACTTGTTTCTCCAGCACGAAGCGGAATCGCCCCCAGGTTTGACCGAAGGAATAGGGAGGAAAAGAGAGCGCGACAGAGCAACCASGAGCACCTCTCATGCCCCCTAAGCTCAGCCTAAACCTGGCTGCCTCCGGGGGCAGAGGACATCCCGTTGCAGCCTCCATCCCTCGGCGCCTCCATCCTCTTGCTCGCGCCTCTGGGAGCGGAGCCGAGGCCGGAGGCTGCTCCTCGGCAGCTGCCCAGGGCGCAGCTCTAGCAGGGCCGCGGCGGGGGCTAATCGAGGCCCAACACCACGGCAGCTCCGCTTGCCGGAGCCGGCAGAAAGGGAGCAGCAGATGGGCCCGAGGAGGCCGGGAGGCCGCCGCTAAGTGGATTGATGGAAAGGCCTTGGAGAGGGAGATGGATTGGAGAGGGAGCCGCCGGAGGAGAGGGCCAGGGAGCTGCCGGGAAGGGGGGAAAGGGGCCGAGAGAACAGATGGATGGACACAAAGACTGGAAGGGAGGAGAGGGACAGATGGACGGGCACGAGAGAGAGTGGGGAGAGGAGAGGGATCGCGCCGTAATTAGATTGGATCCGACGATGACAGGCTCGATTAGAGCAATATTATGATCAGGAGCTTCTGCCGCTGCTTGGCTTGGAAGGGAGAGGGGGACAAAGGCGGAGAGCACGTGGGGAAGGGGCCGGGCGGGCGGAAAGGAGACGGGCTCCTTGGGAACGCTGCCGGGATGGCGGGGACAGCTCGGCTGCTTCCCGAGCCCCGGCCGCGCACAAAGCGCGCGGGGTGAAAGGCGGCGAGACAAAGGCGGGAGCCGAGAGGGGCGCCGCGGAGCGGGCACGTGCRTGCGTGCAGGGGCACGTGCATGTGCGTGCGTGCAGGAGTGTGCACGGGCTTGCATGCGTGTGTGCGTGCATGCGTGCAGGAGCGCGTGCGTGTGCATGCAGGAGTGTGCGTAGGCTTGCGTGTGTGTGTATGTCTGCGTGCAGGAGTGTGGGCGTGCATGTGTGCATGCATGTCTGCATGCGTGCGTGTGCATGMRTGTGCATGCGGGAGTGTGYGTGTGCATGTGGGATTGCATGAGTGTGTGCACGCGTGTGTAGGTRCATGCAGGGGTGTGCATGTGCATGTATGTGTGCATGCATGCAGGCATATGTGCGCATGCGCACGCACATGTGCGTGCGTGCAGGAGTGCGTGCATGCRTGTGCATGCATGTGTATGCATGCAGGATCACGTGTGTRCATGCATGCCGATGCACATGTGTGTGCATGCATGCAGGAGTGCACATATCTGCACGCGTGTGCATGTGCATGCATGCTGGAGTGCACGTGTGCATGCACGCCCRTCTGCACGCATGCAGGTGCCACAAGTACCGCTTCCCACTCCGCTAGGTCCGCGGCCCCATCCTGCATCCCAGGCCAGCGAGGCCGGAGCATCCTCGGGGATGCAGCGGGAAGCCGCAAGCCCCGGCACGAGGATCCCAGCGGGCTCTTTTCCCCAAAAAGCGCCGAGCGGAGCCTCCCCAGGGGCCGTCTGCAATATGTCGCCCTGTCCCCTGCCAAGCGCTGCCCCATCTCCTCGCGGTGCCCTCGGGCGCTGCTCGCTCCCGGGCATCCAAGTGGGCGAATCCTGGCGGGCTCGAGCCCCTTGGATGGGATGATCCAGCTGGGCCAAAGGCTTTGGAAAAGGGGCCTCGTTCCCAGCCGCGCTCGCTTCATTCCCAAATGCTGGAAGTGGCGGAAAGGCCGGGGATTCGCCTGCGGCTCCCGCCCCGGACTCATTAGGTGCCCGGTGCCGGCGAGGAGGCGGCCGCGGTGCCACCTGAGCCCCGCGAGCGCCGCCACCATCTGCCGCGCGGCGCCGGAGGCCGCCGGGGCGCCCGGAGCGGCGCCGGGATGCGGGCAGGGATGGGGGTGAGGGTGAGGGTGGGGATGGGGATGGGGGTGAGGATGGGGATGGGGGTGTGAGGATGGAGGGGGGGGGGAAGGGGGGGGGAGGAGTGGCGGGCCGGGGAGGGGGATGGGGGTGAGGATGAGGGGGGGGGGATGGGGATGAGGATGAGGGTGGGGATGGGGATGGAGGTGGAGGGATGAAGATGAGGATGAGGATGGAGGGATGAGTATGAGGGTGGGGATGGAGGGATGAGGATGGAGATGGAGGGATGGGGATGAGGATGAGGATGGGGATGAGGATGAGGGTGGGGATGAGGATGAGGGTGGGGATGGGGACGAGGACGAGGATGAGGACGGGAACGGAATGGGATGCTCCTGCTGCTGGGGAGGCCGCGGGGCAGCGGGGACACCCGCCGCCGGGAGCTGCAGCTTCCCTGCCCATTGGCGCCGGGCTGGGGAACCAGAGGCAGGAGCCCGGCCCTCGCTGCTGCCCCTCATTCCGGCCCTGAGCAGAGCGGCACCCAAAGCAGCCGCCCCGGCCTCCGGGTGCTGCTTCTGCCCCCCGTCCAACTTGGGAGCGCGGGATCCGCGCGGAGCCGCCGGCCGGGAGAGGCTCTGGATGCTCCCGTGCCCACGGGGCACCCCGACACGTGCCAGGGCCCCCGGGGGGGGGAGCCGCGGCCCCCCCCGCCGCCGCCCCCCCTCCCGCCTCTCCATTTCGCCCTTAT